GTAGTGTTGGATAAACTAATTGTCCCCGATATACTACATGTGTGTTTCATGTCCGGTGGTGTTGGATGCGAATCATGGCGCCGTATCTCGCGTCTCTTAGGTGTAGTTTTCCCGCCATTAATATAATATATTAATATGTATGATAAGGGCAGTTTATGGAGGGTGATAATCCTTATTTACTTATTACTTATAGCCTCATAAATTTATATGGCTTTTAAAAATGGTTAATATCATACATATTAATATAATATATTAATATGTATGATAGTTTATGGAGGGTGATAATCCTTATTTACTTATTACTTATAGCCTCATAAATTTATATGGCTTTTAAAAATGATTAATATCATACATATTAATATAATATATTAATATGTATGATAGTTTATGGAGGGTGATAATCCTTATTTACTTATTATTTATAGCCTCGTAAATTTATATGGCTTTTAAAAATGGTAGCTAGAGATGAGATGACAAGATGCCGACAGTTCAGTATTACCATGACGAGTGTGTGAATGTCAGATGTCATGAGGTGGACTTTGAAATGAGCACAGAATACTTACACAGTATTAAATTGACTATAATATAAGCTCGAATTAAAGGGTAGATGAACCACTTACATAAATGTGGCATATCTCTGATTATATTATTTTACTCACTGTAAAACTTCTTAAATATTTTCACATCATAAGACCCAAAAACATATATATAATGTATTTTAAAGAAAGTTTTATAGTTATAAATAATTATTATTTTGTTATTATTTAAATTACTCCATTTAAATATTTTGACTCGTCATTGCTATATATAATTAAGAACCAATAAGTGAAATTCGCAGCCATGAGGCTAGAGATCATTTTGATGGTTTTGCCGGGTTTAGAACGTTGCTTTAGATTTTTTGTTTAATACTGTTTATTATAAAAGAATACATTCTTCGTACTGTATTTTATATACAAAAAATATTCACATGTACTGCATGACGCTCCTGCAATGATGCCGTTTATCTTTTGAAATATTAGGGATAAACAGTGGTGAGATACTGAGAGTTCTTAACCCATAAACTGCGCAGCTGCTTAAAGGTACACATTGATGTACGCCTGGCTAGAGAAAGTTAACGAATAAAGGTGTACAAAATAATAGCTTATGGCGATTGGTGCGCAGAAGGAACTCTCAGATAGTAATTGGAACACTGGAGGAAGCCACATATAGTAATTGGAACACTGGAGGAAGCCACAGATAGTAATTGGAACACTGGAGGAAGCCACAGATAATAATTGGAACACAGGAGGAAGCCACAGATAGTAATTGGAACACTGGAGGAAGCCACAGATAGTAATTGGAACACAGGAGAAAGCCACAGATAATAATTGGAACACAGGAGAAAGCCACAGATAGTAATTGGAACACTGGAGGAAGCCACAGATAGTAATTGGAACACAGGAGAAAGCCACAGATAATAATTGGAACACTGGAGGAAGCCACATATAGTAATTGGAACACTGGAGGAAGCCACAGATAGTAATTGGAACACTGGAGGAAGCCACAGATAGTAATTGGAACACTGGAGGAAGCCACAGATAGTAACTGGAACACAGGAGGAAGCCACAGATAATAATTGAAACACAAGATGGCCTGGTCGAGGACCGGGCCGCGAGGACGCTAAGCCCCAAAACCATCTCAAGGTAAGGAAGAAGCCGCAGATAACAATTGGAACACAGGAGGAAGCCACAGATAACGACTAGATCAGTATATAAGAGTTAATGCTGAAACATATCTGGAGCAGCTGGGCAAGAGCAGACACGCTCTAGTGTCGCTAGAATGCTATAATGATGTCCATGAGGGCTACCATACCACAACCCCTCCACCCCCTTAACCCCCCTCTCCCCCCCCCCCTCCCCAGTTATGGAGCCCATAACGACTTCCTGGGGGTGGAGGCCTGGTCGAGGACTGGGCCGCGGGCACACTAAAGCCCCGAAATCAACTCAAGTTAACCCCCCCCTACGCCCCCCCCCTCCTCTTGCCCTAGCTATTGAGCATTAAATTTTGCCCCGAGGGGCGAGTTTAAGGGCAGCGCCACTCATTCTGTGAGTGGACACACCGCCATAGCAGCATGTACAACACTCCCCAATAGGAAGAAAACCCGCTGGGTTGTTCATCCTGTCACGCTAGTGAGCATGTTTCAGCATTACGTGTTGCGTCGTAGTATACAGGTGTGCGCTCAAGCGTTGCCTCACAACATACAGGTGTGCGCTCAAGCGTTGCCTCACAACATACAGGTGTGCGCTCAAGCGTTGTCTCTGAGAGAATAAGAATTTATTCCCATGGTTAGTTAGTTAGTTCTCTTTTTATTCAGTTATTTCCCTTTTTTGTCATATATATTATAATTATATGTATATGTCCGAGTACAATTGTGTTGCCAGAATAGTACACTCTCCAGGCTCCAGCTCTTGGGCCACCAACTGTTGGGTACTGGGGATAATCACTTGTGAGAGTACTCTGAGGACTGAGTACTATGTGAGAGTACTCTGAGGACTGACTACTATGTGAGAGTACTCATAGGACTGTGTCACATGTGAGAGTACTCTGAGGACTGTGTCACATGTGAGAGTACTCAGAGGACTGTGTCTCATGTGAGAGTACTCTGAGGACTGTGTCACATGTGAGAGTACTCTGAGGACTGTGTACCATGTGAGAGTACTCAGAGGACTGAGTACCATGTGAGAGTACTCTGAGGACTGAGTACCATGTGAGAGTACTCTGAGGACTGTGTCACGTGTGAGAGTACTCAGAGGACTGAGTACCATGTGAGAGTACTCTGAGGACTGTGTCACGTGTGAGAGTACTCAGAGGACTGAGTACCATGTGAGAGTACTCAGAGGACTGTGTACCATGTGAGAGTACTCAGAGGACTGTGTACCATGTGAGAGTACTCAGAGGACTGTGTACCATGTGAGAGTACTCAGAGGACTGTGTACCATGAAGACCATCTACTCCGAGGACTGTGACATATTACTCTTAAGACTGTGTACTCTAAAGACTGAGTTACATATGAGAGTGACAGTTTCAAGTCTTTTGTATTACCATATAAGTCGATTTGTATAGTTTAAGGTCTTTTTGTCTCCGGCATTTTGCTGTTGACCCTCACGTATGTTTAGACAATGTTCATTATATGGATATTTGACCTTTTCATGTTTGATATCTATGTACACTGTGATCTTTGTATGGTCAATAAAGTTTGTTATAGTTAACTGTGTCTTCTTTACGCCACAGACGCGCAGCTTGGACACAAGCTTGGTCATAAGCTTGGACACAAGCTTGGTCATAAGCTTGGACACAAGCTTGGTCATAAGCTTGGACACAAGCTTGGTCATAAGCTTGGACACAAGCTTGGTCATAAGCTTGGACACAAGCTTGGTCATAAGCTTGGACTGTTCAGCTTGAACTGTTCAGCTTGGACACAAGCTTGGTCATAAGCTTGGACTGTCCAGCTTGGATAGTTTAGCTTGTCATCAGGAAACCATTTGTTGGACCAAACAAGCATTACATTACTGATAAGGTAGCTTTAATTAAAACACACACACACACACACACACACACACACACACACACACACACACACACACACACACACACACACACACACACACACACACACACACACACACACACAAACTGAGTAGTTTTTGCCAGCCGAAAACGAGAAAGCGATGTTGAATAACCAGTTTTATATGCAAATTGAAATTCAGAGATGCCTAGTTTGTCAGCTACAACGTCAATGAGAATAAAATAAAATACTTTATTTAAAAGTATGTTCCAGGAAGTCTTTTTAATGGGAACAAGTACAGAGGTGTTTACTTCATTGTATTATGCACTATGGCAGAAAATACCTGGAATATATATATATATATATATATATATATATATATATATATATATATATATATATATATATATATATATATATATATAGCCTCGCTTTTCTTCAGCTGATTGGCACGTTATCCCTCGCATGTATACAGCTGAAGAGAAGGTGACGCCAAGCAAATGAAGATAACATGATAACCACTCAGTGGTCAAAGATATGTGCTTCTCCTGGGGAAGAGTATCACGAGTGTTGTAGCTTACTTGCAGGTGTGAGAGACCACTCCGCGACCAGGTCCTGGACCGTCCTCCACGACCAGGTCCTGGACCGTCCTTCACGACCAGGTCCTGGACCGTCCTCCACGACCAGGTCCTGGACCGTCCTCCACGACCAGGTCCTGGACCGTCCTCCGCGACCAGGTCCTGGACCGTCCTCCACGACCAGGTCCTGGACCGTCCTCCACGACCAGGTCCTGGACCGTCCTCCACGACCAGGTCCTGGACCGTCCTCCACGACCAAGTCCTGGACCGTCCTCCACGACCAGGTCCTGGACCGTCCTCCACGACCAGGTCCTGGACCGTCCTCCACGACCAGGTCCTGGACCGTCCTCCACGACCAGGTCCTGGACCGTCCTCCACGACCAGGTCCTGGACCGTCCTCCACGACCAGGTCCTGGACCGTCCTTCACGACCAGGTCTACTCGTGCGCCAGGTGGAGGTAGGCATCACTGCTGTAGCCGAACAATTCAGCATCAAGCATGAAGCGATGGTAGACGAGGCTTATCTGCTTACGGTCCAGTTGCCCGAGGTAGCGGTTGACCGCTTGTCCGGCGGGTACCCGCCCTCCTGACCGCTGCACCTCCAGCTGTCAGACACGAGTCACAGATTAGGCTTCAGAGCCGGTGAATGCACTAACCTATAAATCATAAAATGAATAATGCAACGAAATAACTTAATCCTAAGTTAGAACAGTGTATATATATATTAGAGAAATACTCCCTGTCCACCTCAACATAAATACACATTATATGCTTAACGGACCCTTAGGCAATCTTTGAAAGCTTTCTTAATGACTACAGTTTCTTACCCATGGAAGGATACTTGAAAAATCAAGTTAACAGGACAGGTCAGGAGTCACACCTTAACACATGTAGCTTTAAGATAAGATCCCAAACTACAAAAACACAATTTACTGTTGAACCCGACTGCAGAAAAAAGCCAATTGGCTTCATACTCCCCGAGGAAGGTAATACAACGGGTGTTTGACCTGAATCAAGGTCTACCTTCAACAGCGAGAACTGTATGACTTAAGGCATGTGGTGAATAAGTCATAATAACGTGACTGAAGAGAAACACAATGACGTCATCACTGATCAAAACATCAGCCTCGTGAACACAATCCTGTGCTCACAACAATTTAGAACCTACAACTGCACAATAAATAACTGTGCCTCGTTTAGGTGATAAACTAGAGGTGCAAAACTATCTCATCAACAGATAAAACATATAATAATAGCGAGAGTAGTGTGATATCATTTCAGGAGAAACGGTGACCAAGCCTACCCACCAACATGGGGGATAGAAATAGCCTAAGCTACTCTATCCCTCTGAGATGTATTTTATTGTCTCAATAAACGTACTTGAACCCACCAACAATACCGCTGTTGTCATCCATAACTACTGATGCTCAACAAGAGGGTTTAGGAAGCCTTGTGTGTGTGTAGCTACACGAGACAAGGAGGATCCCGGATATGCGAATCTACACTAAGAAATAAAGAAGGCTGGTGGTGTTACACTAAATATATAGATCCACTTTCCTGTTGTGTCACTAACCTGGTCATATTGCAGATACGGTTATAATTCTGGCCACAACGTCCACCAGAGGTTAGTGTTAATACCTATAGTCAGTACAGTGTGATTAATTGTTACGTTGAATTTAACTAGCTTAACTATGTCTTGGTTAATATTATATTTACTGATTAATTAAATGTTAGATAATTTAACTAATATTTGTTAACATTTGGCTATACTAGTTTAAACAACTACGTTGGTAATCATTGCTGGCTGGTAGATTAAAGCATCAGGGACAAGCTGTATTCGCAGTGTCATTACCTATTTTAGTCTGGGAAATGTTAGTTCTTTGCAACACTTAAATTTCATCATTATCAACACCCTAATGTACTCGCCTAGTCGTGCTTGCCGGGGTTGAGTTTCGGCTCTGTGTTCCCGCCACGCAACTGTCAATCAACTGGTGTACAGATTCCTGAAAATGTTTGTGACCTTTCCAGATTTCATCATTATCAACACCCTAATGTGTGACCTCTCCAGTGAGAGCAGCAGGTACCAGAGCATCTGTTCTCCCCCCAGCTGCCGTCCCCCTGCCGTCCCTAGCTGCTGTCCCAAGCTGCCGTCCCAAGTTGCTGTCCCAAGCTGCTGTCCCCCCTGTCGTCAGTAGCTGCCGTCCCAAGCTGCCGTCCCAAGCTGCCGTCCCAAGCTGCTGTCCCAAGCTGCTGTCCCTCTGTCATCCCAAACTGCCGTCCCCAGCGCCCTCACCTCACTACAAGAGACGCGCCTTCCACATCAACTTCAGCTAAGCCTACATTAATCTCCTTTTATTTTATTTAGTTTTAGAGATATACAAATTATTTTATATTTATTTTTGTTGTATATGTTGTATAGTATATACGATGAAGGGTAAAAGGGCCTCACAAGTATTAAATTAACAGCATACGAAACCTGTGCATCTTTCCTCAATCATGATAACATTGTTTACATTTAGTAAACAGTTTACGAGCACCGAAGCCCCACGAGGTTGTCGATAACAATAATAACCTTGGGAGTAGTGAAGTTTCCTAGCCCGTAAACTCTGCAATATATGTAAACAAAGCGGTCATAATTAGGGAAAGATGTACAGGTTTCGTCAGGGGGTGGGTAAATTTTTTTATGAATCCTGGCCCAGGAAATCTGTTCACCTAGCAGTAAATAGGTACCTGGGAGTTAGACAGCTGCTACGGTCTGCTTCCTGAGGGTAACAAAAAAGGAGGCCTGGTCGATGACCGGGCCGCGGGGACGTTAAGCCCCGAAATCATCTCAAGATAACCTCAAGAGAAGAAGGTGTCAACGCCCTCCCTCACACCTCGATGTTATATCATGTAACTAGCCCACGAAGACTTATGTTCACTCACAAGATGAGTGGTGCTGCCCAATAAACTCGCCCCTCGGTGCAAAATTTAAAAAAAAAATTTTACCAACGCCCCTCCGCCAGCCCCCAGAGGTACCCAGTGACCTTTGGTGTCTCTGGCCATATCACCCAAACCGGCCTCTACCTCGCCCCTCAACGCTCACCCACCCACTCATTAGTTGCGCTGCCGTCTCGGTCAATGTGCATCACCTGGGGGCAGCAGTACCTGCAACTGTAAGACTGGGGGCACCAGTACCTGCAACTGTAAGACTGGGGGCACCAGTACCTGCAACTGTAAGACTGGGGGCACCAGTACCTGCAACTGTAAGACTGGGGGCACCAGTACCTGCAACTGTAAGACTGGGAGCACCAGTACCTGCAACTGTAAGACTGGGAGCACCAGTACCTGCAACTGTAAGACTGGGGGCAGCAGTACGTGCAACTGTAAGACTGGGGGCAGCAGTACCTGCAACTGTAAGACTGGGAGCACCAGTACGTGCAACTGTAAGACTGGGGGCAGCAGTACGTGCAACTGTAAGACTGGGGGCAGCAGTACCTGCAACTGTAAGACTGGGAGCAGCAGTACCTGCAACTGTAAGACTGGGAGCACCAGTACCTGCAACTGTAAGACTGGGAGCAGCAGTACGTGCAACTGTAAGACTGGGAGCACCAGTACGTGCAACTGTAAGACTGGGGGCAGCAGTACGTGCAACTGTAAGACTGGGAGCACCAGTACCTGCAACTGTAAGACTGGGGGCACCAGTACCTGCAACTGTAAGACTGGGAGCACCAGTACCTGCAACTGTAAGACTGGGAGCACCAGTACCTGCAACTGTAAGACTGGGAGCACCAGTACCTGCAACTGTAAGACTGGGGGCAGCAGTACCTGCAACTGTAAGACTGGGAGCAGCAGTACCTGCAACTGTAAGACTGGGAGCTAAGCGTCAAGCTTGGTGCTAAGAGCCTAAAGGTACGCCGTCTTGCCTTCTTGTGTAATAATCAAATATATACACTCTCACCTTCTGGAATTCTGTTGTGTTGATGAGGGCGAGAAGAAACTTGTGGTCGTCCTCCAGCGTCTCCATCTTGAGGACGAGGTCGTAGTCGGCGGCACACACGTTACACTGGATATAGTACGGCATCCAGCAGGGAGCCTGGAACACCACACACACACAGACCTTAACCAGCGCTGACGTTAGCGGTGATTGGGGAGTTGTTAGCGGCGTGGTGCGAGCCACTGGCAGCCTAATGTCTTATTTCCCTCTTCCCTCCTTCCTCCCCCCTCTCTCTATCTCTCCCTCTCCCTCTCCCTCACCCTCTCCCTTTCCCTCTCCCTCTCTCCCTCTCCCTCACCCTCTCCCTCTCCCTCTCTCCCTCTCCCTCTCTCCCTCTCTCTTTCTGTCTCTTTCTCTCTCTCTCTCTCTCTCTCTCTCTCTCTCTCTCTCTCTCTCTCTCTCTCTCTCTCTCTCTCTCTCTCTCTCTCTCTCTCTCTCTCTCTCTCTCTCTCTCTCTCTCTCTCTCTCTCTCTCTCTCTCTCTCTCTCTCTCTCTCTCTCTCTCTCTCTCTCTCTCTCTCTCTCTCTCTCTCTCACTCTCACTCTCACTCTCACTCTCACTCTCTCTCACCTTCGTGGTCCAGTCATGGTGGGTGTGCAGGATCCTGGTGGAGTCTAGCACGTGCTGCAGGAACTCTGGGAAGCTGGGATGGAGGGACAAATTAGCCTTCTTGTTCTTTCTGTATTTCTTGATTATCTGCCTCTTCATCTCCTGGAATTGTTGCTGGCAGGAATCTGTGGCTATCTTGTCCAGGTAGATGGATAACAGTCTGAAGGTCAAACCAACACGGATATCACTAGATACACGGCCCTAAAAGATTGTATAGTGAAACTTAAAAAATAAGGTAAACTGGCTCAATTATACTCAGTTTAAGAAGGTAAACTGCCCTCGTACTCGAGGACCATTCAAGGACCTAATGATGCTATTCACTCAGGTCTTAAACAGCGATAATAAATTACTGTCTCTAGGAATTAAACACAGTCAAAACACTCGGATGTAACAAAAGTTATTTTATATTTTTGAAAAACTACCGTCAGCCACACAAGGTGATTGTACCTGGGTTGCTCCTTGTTAGCAACCTGTCCTCTAAAAAGAACGTCGCTTCTGGCCGTTTGCCCGTATGGCCGAATATGGACGTAATTTGAAGATGAAAAAAAAATTAATATAAATTGGGGATTTTTTTTTCAACAACAGTAAGTTAAGGGTCCTCTGATAGGTTAGGTGGGCAGGAAATTCTGATAAAGTTTCAAAATGGTATGAAAAACGTTAATGGAAAGAATCCTTTTCTAAGCATGCCGAGTAAGCCGGACGACTCAAACAGAAAACGGAACAGTACGTCACTTTTGTGAGTCGATTTCATTTCAAATTACGTCCAAATTTGGCCATAGTGCGCATACGAGCGAAAAGTGACGTTATTTTTAAGAGGACGGATTGCTGACACAGTGGTCCACAAGAGTCTGTTTCACGTAATGACCGAACAGGTCGGAGTAACATGCGTCAGTGAAAGATGTTGACCAGACAACACACTAGAATATGAAGGGACGACGACGTTTCGGTCCGTCCTGGACCATTCTCAAGACAATCGACTTGAGAATGGTCCAGGACGGACCGAAACGTCGTCGTCGTCCCTTCACCTTGTAGTGTGTGGTCTGGTCAACATACGTCAGCCACGTTATTGTGACTCATCGCCTGCATACAGGGAAAGACAGAAGGCGGAGAATCATTAACAGGGATGAATAATCAGTGAACAACGTGGGTGGGGGTCCCTTAAGGGTGGGCGCTAGGGGCCCACTCTGTTGATCATGCATCGCTGACATTATAGACATTAAAATAGTAGACAGTTGAAAGACATTACAGGATTTATGCAGGCTGCAGGAGTGACTCAGACAGTGGCTGCTAGAGTTCAACCCCACCGAAAGCTATGTTATGAATATGGTCAATGAGACAAATTCTAAGGCTATGTGTCGCCTTAGAGGTTTAGAGAGTAGTACCTGGATGTACACATTAAATCAATCTTATCTCCCGATGGTCTTCAAAATCATACGTAGCTTGCAAGCATCACGACCACCTGCAGAGTCATTCAGAAAGCTCTACACCACGCACATCAGACCAGTACTTTAAATATGCAGCGCTTGTGTACAACACCCACCTAACAGAAAATTGAGAAGCTTTCCACCAGACCGGTCCAGAGTATGAGATGCATGACCTAAGAGGAAAGACTTCAGAAGTTCAGGACAAGAATGGACCTGATCACGACTTACAAAATACTCCGAGGGGTAGACAAGGATGGCAAAGACGGACCATTTTAACCTGAAGGGACCAGGGATATGGTCCATGGAAGGGACCAAGATCATGGGACACATTTTAACACTTAGTGGGCCCCGCGATACTCATCCATCAACTTACACATCCACTGATACGCACCCACCCATACATTCATCCACCAACAAGCGTACTCACTCACCCATACATTCACCCATCATCGCAACCACGCCACTCATCCATCAACGAACAAGAGGACACAGATTCAAGCCAAGGAAACAGAGGTGCCGAAAAAACAGTAGAAAGTTTTCTTTCGCAAACAGAGTGGTAGACGGTTGGAACAAGCTAAGTGAGAAGGTGGTGGTGGAGGCCAAAACCGTCAGTAGTTTCAAAGTGTTAAACGACAAAGAGTACTGGGAAGACGGGACACCACGAGCGTAACTCTCATCCTGTAACTACACTTAGGTAATTACACACACACACACACACACACACACACACACACACACACACACACACACACACACACACACACACACACACACACACACACACACACACGCACACACGCACACACACACACACACACACGCACAACTAGGTGAATAATGATAGAGCCCAGTAGGCTCTGGAATCTGTACACCAGTTGATTGACAGTTGAGAGGCGGGACCAAAGAGCCAGAGCTCAACCCCCGCAAGCACAACTAGGTGAGTACACACACACACAAAATAAGAGCAGATGCTCAACAAGGTGAGAACTCCTGCAGCAACCAGCACGCCCACACGCCCACCACCCAACCAGCACGCCCACACGCCCACCCAACCAGCACGCCCACACACCCACCTGAGAAGCGGGTCAGCGACCACCAACACCCTCACGCTGCTCTGGAACAGCTTCGTCATCGCCTCCAGGTTGACCTTGGCCGGCCGGCTGGGAGGGAACAAGAACCTCGCCCCAGAGCACCTAGATCTCTGCGTAAACAACGTCCGATCAACACATATCATTCCTGTATGTTAATTCTGAACACTTAGGTTATACTCAAATGTTTTAAAATATATCTTTATTATCACACACAGAGATCTCACTAACTTTATGCATCAAATGAACAAATCCACAAGGGCCGTGACGAGGATTCGAACCTGCGTCCGGGAGCATCCCAGACACTGCCTTGTCACGACCCTTGTGGATTTGTTCATATCTTTATTATCATTGCAAACGTCTTAGAGGCCCTGAAGGAAGACGGTAGGAATAGACCTGGTGCAAGTATGCTTCACAGAGCATATTTTCTTTCTTGGATTTTATAAGAAAGAAACAATGTTGAGCAGACTCATTGTTAATCTGAATGTTCATTCAAGAGGGCGAGAATCATATAACTTTTATCAACGCGTCATTAATTGTAGAGTTTGAAGAACCTCCTACCTTGCAAGAGGTGCAAGATTGTCTCTTACCTTGCAAGGAGTAAGGGACAATCTCCATAAGGGACAATCCCTGTGTAACCTACAAGGGGACTTACCTTTTAAACTTACAAGGAAATCTGTCATGTACATCTACACGAAAAGAACTTGTAAATCTACGAGACCTTGCCTTGTAGTTCTCCAAGTAGACCAACCTTGTAGTTCTACAAGTAGACCCCTCATCTTTCAATTCTACATGAATAACTACATTGCAGAGGGCACCGCGTGGAACGAGATCAACACCCACCTTGAAGACAGGACACCAGACGAGGTTAGGTTCCTGTTCCGTGTTCCAGAGGACCCTAAGGGCGGAGGAGGACGCGAGCTTGGACCTCAGTCTGCAGCCGTCAGCCACCAGTCTGGTCCTCTCGACCATCTCCCCCAGACGGCTCCTCAGGTACTTCCTAGCCTGTCGGAGGGGCAGCTGAAGTGAGGGACAGAGGGCGGGCTAGGCAGGGACACCGGCTAGTGAGGAATTCATTGGTAGGTATCATAGGTAAGGCTTCTTCTGACTTAGCGGTGAATATATTGGATAGTGGGGAGTGATAAGTAGACTATACATTGATAGTGTGTGGGGATGGGGTGCGGATGGGAGAGGGGGAAGGGGTGGAGACAGTGGAGGAGAGATAGCATGGGAGGTCATTGATTTGAGGGATTGATGGAGAGTGGAGAAAACAAGGAAAATTAGATGCACGGAGAGGGGGGGTGGGGGGCAATGAGGAAAATAGTTGGTTAACCTGAGAGAAGGGGTGAGAGGTGAACCTAGGGAGAGAAGTGAGGGAGAGAGAGAGTTGTGAGGTTGACTGGGAGAGAGGCAGTGAGTGTGTGAGAGTGTTCGCCTACTCTCTCTCATCCAACACAAACACAAAACACACCGCTACACCATTTCTGTCAACACATAAATTAATAAACAAAATTAACACCCACGAGAGAAAAGTGCCGCTCACATCTCCCACTCCCTTGCCCGTAACACTGTGTGTACTAGTGGCTGTAGGTATTGTATGTACTACCTCTATCTATAAATCCTACATCATGTTTGTAACTAATCCTCTATGTATGCACTTTTACCTGAATAAACATTTGATTTGATTTGACTAAGTAAAATGTGGGTAAATTATGATATTTTTAAATGATTACATGTTTTGTGATCATGACCCGGGGGAGCGAGTGGAGCCGTGTCTCAGCCACCAGGGTCTCTGAGAGCAATGTTCTCTAACCTGTTTAACAGTCACCAGTTTCTTCACTAAGCTGGGGAGGTGTGTTAGGGCTTTACGACTGTCAGTACTTACCGAATTGTGCTTGCGGGGGATGAGCTCTGGCTCTTTGGTCCCGTCTCTCAACTGATGTACAGATTCCTGAGCCTACTGGGCTCTGTCATATCTACATTTGAAACTTTGTATGGAGTCAGCCTCCACCACATCACTGCCTAATGCATTCCACTTGTTAACTACTCTGCACTGAAAAAGTTCTTTCTAACGTCCATGTGGCTCATGTAGGTACTCAGTTTCCACCTGTGTCCCCTTATTTGCGTCCCACCCGTGTTAAAAGTTTATTCTTATCTACCCTGTTAATTCTTCTTCTGAGAATTTTGTAGGTAGTTATCATGTCTCCTCTTACTCTTCTGTCTTCCAGTGTCGTGAGGTGCATTTCCCGCAGCCTTTCCTCGTAACTTATGCCTCTTAGTTCTGGGACTAGCCTAGTGTCATACCTTGGAACTTTTCCAGCTTCGTCTTGTGCTTTTACAAGATACGGGCTCCATGCTGGGGCCGCATACTCCAGGATTTGTCTTACATATGCTGTGTACAAGGTTCTGAATTCATTCCTTACACCGGTTCCTGAAGGCTGTTCTGATGTTAGCCATTCTCGCGTATGCTGCAGATGTAATTCTTTTTATGTGGGCTTCTGGAGACAGGGTTGGTGTGATATCAACTCCTAGATCTTTCTCTCTGTCCGTTTCATGAAGTACTTCATTTCCCATTCGGTATCCGTGTCTGGCATCCTGTTTCCACCTGTAGTTTCATGACCTTGCATTTACTCGGGTTTAACTTTAGTAGCCATTTGTTGAACCATTCATTCAGTCTGTTTAGATCATCTTGTAACCTCTAAGATCTACAAGCCTGTAGATCTTAGGTCATCCCTGAACCCATGTTGATGCCTTGTTACAAAGTACTTTTGCTCCAGATGTTCCACAAGCTTTTTTTGCACAATCTTCTCCATCATCTTGCATGGTACGCAAGTTAGGAACACTGGCCTGTAGTTCATGCTTCCTCTCTATCCTCCTTCTTGTATATCAGGACCACATTAGCAGTCTTCCAAATTTTTGTCAATTCCCCTGTTACCAGTGATTTGTTATACACTATGGAGAGTGGCAGGCACAGTGTTTCTCCTTCCTTTAGTATCCAAGGGGGAGATTCCATCCGGGCCTATAACCTTTGTCACATCCAACTCTAGCAAGAGCTTCCTTACATCCCCACTGGTAATCTCTAACTCTTCTAGTGGTTCCTGGTTAACTATTCCCTCTCTTATCTCTGGAATCTCTCCTTGCTCTAAGGTGAAGACCTCCTGGAATTTCTTATTCAGTTCTTCACGCACTTCCTTGTCGTTTGTAGTGAATCCTTCTGCCCCTATCCTTAATTTCATTACCTGTTCCTTTACTGTTGTTTTTCTCCTGATGTGGTTGTGCAGCAATTTAGGTTGAGTCTTTGCTTTGTGTGTGTGTGTGTGTGTGTGTGTGTGTGTGTGTGTGTGTGTGTGTGTGTGTGTGTGTGTGTGTGTATTCACCTAGTTGTGCTTGCGCAGGTTGAGTTCTGGCTCTTTGGGCCAGTCTCTCAACTGTCAATCAACTGATTATTTTCACACACACAGAAAGCAGCCCGAAGCAGCTGTCTAACTCCCAGGTACCTATTTACTATTAGGTGAACCGTGGCATCAGGGTGAAAGAAACTGCCCATTTGTTTCCGCCTGCGCCGTGGATCGAACCCGAACTCTAAGAACTACGAATACCGAGCGTTGCCTACTCAGCCGTCAGGCCCTTTAATTAATAGTGTGTGTTTGTGCGCACATTAAGCCTTACCTCGGGTGGAAAGGCTGAGAAGTTGAAGTTCCTCAGGAAGGAGCCTTCTGAGGGCTTCAGGACGGGAGGAGCCCAGGAGACCTTAGTGTCCTCCTCACAGCACCCATCCTGCACGGGGTCCTGCGCTCCTGCTCCTACTTCACTACACGCCGCCTCTTCACCTGATGCTCCTCCTTGATCTGGGGAAGCTGTAGCACTCTCCCCGGCGTGAGTGCCACGTTCAAGGACTCGTGGCTCCGAGAAAGACCTGGGAGTCGCCTGAAGGAGGCTCTCGATCTCACTCTGTGAGAGCCTCACACTCAACACACGCCAGGTGTCGTTGTTCCCGACGCTGTTGGGGGTGTGAGGGGGCGTCTCCCCCGAGGGGCGAAGGGGCGTCACCCCCGACAGGTAGTAGAGGAGGCAGGCGCCGACGAGGGAGGCGAACACGGCCCCCTGCGCCACCCTGGTGTTGAGTCTCAGCCCCATAAGGATGAGGTGAGTTCGACAGACCTCAGTACCCGCTTCCGCTCATCACCTGCTGTTTCGCTTCCTTAAGGTTTTCATCCGTTTAGTTTAGAGATTATCTGGCATAGATATAATATTTCACATACTGATATTAACTGGATACAGAACACCGTGAGTCAATTAAGTGACTCAAGCACTCGAGATGAGTGTGTGATTTTGAAGTCAGTAATGCACTGGGAGCATCAGCCGCCGCGCGTCCTCTCCCTCCGGTGACTGAGAGAAGACTAACTGATCCCTTGTGTAGGGTGGTTGCTCAGTCCTTAACTCCTTTACCTTCCCAGCCGTCCCATTGTACTCCCCTCCCCCCTCTACCTCACCCATCCTCAGCATCCCTCCACCTCCAAGCTCACTATCCGTCCACCCCCTCTATGCTCACTATCCTCCTATCCACCACTCGTATCGACTATTTGAGACAAGAGTGATGATTTGTCACCTTACTTCTCCTTCATTGATTACTTCAGCAAGAAACCTATTCAGAGTTTATTTTGGGACTCAGTACTGGAGTTATTTTCCAAGGGTAAACACAGCCACTTTGACTGGACGGTAGAGCAACGGTCTCGCTTCCTGCAGGTGGGCGTTCAATCCCCGACCGTCCACAAGTGGTTGGGCACCATTCCTTCCCACGGTCCCTTCCCAAATTCTTATCCTGACCCCCTTCCAAGTGCTATAAAGTCGTAATGGCTTGGCGATTTCCCCCTGATAATTAAAACAAATCCAAGGGTAAGGCCGAGGTCCATTTCTTTCACCACAGATTGCACAGATTATTGCAGCTCACGTGTGCAGCCTTATGATATCAAATATAATATTCCAGTTATTCCAGGGGGCAGGAATTTCCAGATCTAGAAATACATATAGATGATAACTCAATATATATACTCAAGATAACCTCAAGATAACATACATACGGTCAATGAATGAAGCAGTAGTCCAGTTACCAAAACATCAATGGAAAGATTTTTTTGTTAAGCAAAAATTTTTTGATATACAAAAATAACTTTCCATTCGCCCAATGGAAATCGCCCCAACCCCATACATAGAATGAGAGTGACGATGTATCAAATGTGCGGGTTGGTTTGTGTCTGTAAGCCAATAACAGGTCACGACTGGTTTCCAACATGATTTCAGTTGAAAATCTTGCAGAGGTAACCAAAAAAGTACGGTATTTGGCAGGAAGGTTTCCAGTGTAACTGAGGCTACTGACCCTCTTGAGGCTCGTGGGATGACACCGGCTTATTTAACTAAGGCTACTGACCCTCTTGAGGCTCGTGGGATGACACCGGCTTATTTAACTAAGGCTACTGACCCTCTTGAGGCTCGTGGGATGACACCGGCTTATTTAACTAAGGCTACTGACCCTCTTGAGGCTCGTGGGATGACACCGGCTTATTTAACTAAGGCTACAGACCCTCTTGAGGCTCGTGGGATGACACCGGCTTATTTAACTAAGGCTACTGACCCTCTTGAGGCTCGTGGGATGACACCGGCTTATTTAACTAAGGCTACTGACCCTCTTAAGGCTCGTGGGATGACACCGGCTTATTTAACTAAGGCTACTGACCCTCTTGTGGCTCGTGGGATGACACCGGCTTATTTAACTAAGGCTACTGACCCTCTTGAGGCTCGTGGGATGACACCGGCTTATTTCCAGTCTCTGGAGCGCTGCGTTAGTGACCTCCACCACTTTTTTTACTCATCTTGGACTGGACTCCGTCGTGGATCAGGGTCGAGCAGTGATGTGGGTCTTGGATAATTCTGGGTCGAGCTATAATGAAGCCTTCGATCAAAATATATGTTTGGATTGGCGTTTAGCAAGGTTGTAGATGGTGGATAAGGATCGAAGAATATCACAAGTTGTGGATCAGTGAGATAGAGCTTAGATCAGGGTCAATTAGGAGTGCAGGCTGTGTATCCCGGTCGATCAATGATAAAAATGTTGCATAAATAAGCTTACAAAATCGTATGAAATCCCCCGGGTGGGGGAATAAATTGCTTATACGGAAGTCACCTAAATATCTGTTCAAAATATCCTGATCTTACAAAGATAACGAATCAAATTACAATTCTAATTGGCAAAGTAACGCGATTGGTGGAAGCGCCGCAGTGGGAGGAGCATACCAGTTCCCGGGGCGATGATTGGTGCCTGGACGAGCGCGGGAAGAAGAGGTGGCGCGCGTGCTGTTGGACCGCTTGAGTCACTCGCTGGCAGCAGCAGAGGTCGTGGGTACGTGGCTATTGTCTGCTGGCGTTTCTTCGTAGTCAGTTTTATTATGCGCGTCGGCCCAGGGGTTTGTAATTAATGACAGGTGTGTGTGTCTGCACTCAGGGCTGCGTGTCTGCTCTCAGGGCTGCGTGTCTGCTCTCAGGGCTGCGTGTCTGCACTCAGGGCTGCGTGTCTGCTCTCAGGGCTGCGTGTCTGCTCTCAGGGCTGCGTGTCTGCACTCAGGGCTGCGTGTCTGCTCTCAGGGCTGCGTTTGTAAGGTCGATTACCAGCGTCTTTCACTGGTGAGTGTGTGTGTGCATTCACCTGTGTGTGGCTGTAAGATTGTGGCTTTAGCTCTTGGATTCCGCCTTTCCAACCGATGGTTATTTAATGTAACGACTCCGGACCTATTTTTCTCATAATTGCTATATATTTCTGATACACTCTCTTACCAGGTGCAACCCACAACAGCTGTCTAACGCTCAGGTTCCTAATTACTGGTAGGTGAACAGGTGATTCCAGTGCAAGAAACTGTCTAATCGTTTCAGTCTTGGCTTGAAATCAAACCCGGGTCTCTGGATTGTGAATCGCGGACACTGATCTCTCGACCTCGCTCGTGCGTGTGTGTGCGTGCGTATGTGAGTATTGTTCATGAGGGGGGGGGGCGGTACAAAAGGGGCGTCTGGGACAGAG